ATTGGTCACATTAAATATCCAAAATGGCTGCCCCCTCCGGACAGTTCAGGTTGTCTCCCTCCTTGCTGTTTCCCTTCTTGGTCATAGGCCACCAGTGCAGTCGTCCCTGCAGCCCTTGGTGACGAGGGTTGATCTTTAGGTCAATTCTCAGGTCCCAACACCACTTGGAAATATTCAGGCTGTTGGTCCTGTCAGAGTAGCTGACAGTCCACAGCTCTGACCGTCTCTGTACTCACTGTTTTTGTTCAGGTTTTTCCACTAGTTGGTGCCTAACCCACTTCTGTGTAGTTCCTTTCACAGCTCAGGGCTCCAGGACCATCTTCCGTATCTCTGTCGGTTGGTTTTTCTTTTCTTTGTTGAAGGGGGTCTGTGTCGCTCGTCTGCCTGTTCCTCCATCTACCGGAAGTCTCCTCCTGTCTTCTTTTGACATGTCCTCATCTTTTAATATTTCCTTGTTTTCTGGTACAAGTAGCTGTCCCATGTCCAACTGGTACTTTCTCAACCCAGGGATGAGCCATTTTTCCAAGGAGTCCTGAGTCCTTTCCAGTGGAAAGTGGTCTTTAGAAAACAAGATTGAGGCTCAAGGTGGGCGCTCTTAATTAGCACGCATTTCTGCTTGCAGGGAGTGACTGGCCTTGTGGGCTGTGTCAGTTCACACAGGACTGAATGTATCTTTAGAGGAAAGATCAAGGGTTAAATTTCTGGGTCAGAGCTCTGTCATCCGGTTGCCACAGTTTCTCTGGTGGGAGTCCCTAGTCTGTGTTGCTTTAGCGCTTGTGGGGAGGGGGTTTCCCCTTGCAGTCGTCTTGATGTATCACAGATGCTGACAAGAGTGTGTTTCCTCAGAGCTTGTGAGGCCTTGAAGGGACAGCTTTTCTGGGTGCCTAGGGTCATTTTCTAAGCTTTGCTCTTACAGACTTAGCCCAGGGAGTTCTGAAGAAGGTGATTTACTGTCTGTGTAATTGTACTTCCCAGATCAAGCCTCTTGGTGTTTCTAGGCCAGGTGCGCGGTGTTTCAGCCGCGCCTTCCTGAGGAGTGCAGGTGAAGCTGTTGGGAGGTACAGCAGGCCCAATGAGCCACTCCCTCTCGGGCCTGTCCCTGTTTTTGAAAAGGTGGACTGTACCTTCCGTGAATCCGCTCCTTTAGAGCAGAAGCTCTCAACGGAGGTCACTTTTGTCCCCAGAGGACACGTGGCTACGTCTGCAGACCTTGTTGGTCGGTGGGGGGGTGTGATGGAGGGTACCACTGGGAAAAAGCCAAGAGCTGCTTAGCATGTGAAGATGCACCAGGAGGGAGGGCGAGAGATGTCCATGGTGCTGAGGCTGGAAACCCCGTTTTGGAGCACTTGTAGGAGTGAGGGGGTGAAACCTTACAGGTTTGTCCGCTTCGGTCAGGTAGACTTGATAGCTCCCGGATGGCAGGGCAGGTGGCTAAGACCTCGAAGGACTGGCTGTGGGTGGCTCAGGAGGACTGCTCTGTGTGGACTGCGGTGGTAAAAACGACGAGTCTGGATGGCAGAAACGGAAGGACCTCCGCTTTTCTGGCCGGTCCGTTTTGTCAGTGAGGGTGTAGTTCCCCCACTAAGGTGAAAACAGGTTGCTCCTGTTGAGTAGCTGTTAAATGTGGGCTGTTGCCTGCAGAGCAGGTTATGAGCTGACGTTGCTTTCAGCCCCAGTTCTAACATGCACTGTGGTTTACTCCCTTGTCTCTCTTTGACGTCCATCTGTGGGTCAAGCCTGACATTCCACTGAACCAGAAATAGGTCGGAATCGACGTGGCTAAGGCATAAATGAGTTCCTTGAGTCATTTTTTTTGCTCCTTAGGTGCCCTGCTGGTGTAGTGGTTTAAGCACTCGAGTGCTAACTGAAAGGTTTGAAGTTATTTGAGGCTCCACAGGAAGAAGCTGTGGTGACCAATTTCCGGAAAGGTTGCGCCTGCGATGTTCTGTGGGGCAGTTCTCTGTTACGTGGGGTCCCATGAGTTGGACTCGATGCAGTGGCACCCAACAACAGTCCTGTTCTGGTCTATATTTCAGCAAGGAAAGGTTTGGTTGGTTAACTCCAGGGGAAGAGTGGAGGGAGGGAGGGGGAGAGAGCATGACAGAGCCTTCGCGATGCACAGACGGTTGTAAAGGCAGCAATAATTCAACTTGAAAAAGCCTAAACCTAAAAACAAAAAAAAAGTCCCCCCTCCCCTTCCAAGAAACCCGGAAATCATTTGATGACTAGAAGACATTTTCACTGCAGTGAGTTGATTTAAAGGAGTGCTGGTGGTGTGGTGCTTAAGGCGTTTGGTTCTAACTCACCAGCTGCTATGCAGCAGAGAGATGAGGCAGGCTGCTTCCTCAAGATTTACAGCCTTGGACACCCAAGGGGGGGTCACTGTGGGTTGGAATTGACTCAGTGACAGTGATTTGGTTTGGTTTCTTTAAATTGATGTAACTTTAGCAGTGATTTTTGGCCACAAGTTATGTTAATTTTATCCTTAAACACACTGGGTTTTGGTTGGCAGAATGGAGAGTCTTAAACACACGGTAGTTTCAGCACCTTTGCCCTTGACCTTGAGTGCATGTATTACTTTTACTTCAAAAAAAGAAGAAAGAAAGACTTGTTGGTGTTTCTTTTCCGGGTCAGCTGTTAGAACATTCTCCCTCTTTTCCGACTGTGAGTCCTGTTCCTTTCCCTCGACCTTACCGTGACACTTCTACACGGCTTCTCCTCATTGCCACCAAATTACGTGGCCAGTGTTACCCGGACCCTAAGCCTAGATAAAGAACGCTGGTGGTGCAGTGGGTAAGGCATTTGGCTGCCAACCAGAAGGCCAGCGGTTCAAACCCCCAGCTGCTCCACGGGGGGAAGATGAGGCGATGCACTTCCATGAAAATACACAGCCTAGGAAACCCAGTGGGGGTTGCTATGAGTCGCAGTCAACTGAGTGGCAGTGCGTTTGGTGTTTTTGGTTAACCCTAGAAAGGACGGGGAGTGAGTGAGCACCCGAGGAGAAGGCTCTCTTCTTTCCAGCCTCTCGGCCCTCGATCCTCAACCCTCACTGTGCCGCCGACTTCTTCATCTCGCTCACCAAAGCGTCGGGGAGATGAGGTTGCAGAAACGTAACGGCAAGTCTGTGGTGTCTCCTGCAGCCGAGTTGAGCTGAGTTTCTGAGCCTCTTTGGGGATGGAGGGAGGCTGGCCTGCAGTCTTTTGAGAAGACTTAGTCTGTTCTGAAATACCGTTTTTTCCTCAGTTTACTCCCCCTTGTTGAGAGTGAACGTGTGTTTCTTTTCCCAGTCCTGTCATCCTGTAAGTACAACGGTGGGCCTTTGCCAGATGCAGGTTTGGTAGGGGGAGGTAGGAGCCTCCACTCTGTGGCCAGTTAAAGCAGGAGGGGATGGCAGGTTCCTCGTTACGGTCCTCAGGTTGCTGACACTGAGTGTGGCAACCCACAGGGAGCTGCTGCTAACACACGGCGCTTCAGAGTGGTCACACTGCGTGACTGTGGAGGGAAGCCGTCTGTTCTGTTTTGGTTCAGGCGGTGAATGTACCGGTTCCGCGGTTTCTGCAGGTACAGTTCCAGGACACTGACCGCGTTTGAGTGGTGCAGTGCCTCTCACCTTCTTGTCTTCCGTTGACATAAACTCGCTGGCCACTAATCTTTCGAGCTGCTGTTGTCCATTTCACCCACATCGATCTTGAATGAGCAGAGGACCCAGGGAGGACATTCTTCACTAGGGAAGAAGCTAAACTGTTGTTCCGTCTTAAGACAACTTCAGGGGATAGTTTTGGTTTCAGGTCGAAAGATGGTCTCAAGACAGTAGTTCCGGGGGTTCGCCTAGCCTCAGTGGAGAGGCACCTCTTTGTCAGGCAGCCTTCCCCCCGCGTGGTGGCTGTGGACTGGGAGTTACTCTGCGTTTCTTTATCCGTCTCGTCGGAGCTGCTATTTTGGAGGCATAGCCAAGCTGCATCGCTGCTCGTGAGTCCCTGACCCGCTGAGCCCCTCGAGGCTCTGCCCCTCGGTTTTCAGACCAGGTCACGGTATCTATTGAGCTCGCAAACTGGTTAGTCTGTGCTGAGATGGGCCACGTGTTGTTGTTAGGTGCTATATGTCATCGATTACGCGTTGAAATGGTGACACGTTGGAGATGCTGGGCAGGTAAAGCATCATCGCTTCACCTGTTTCCTTCTCCTTTCACTGACTGTGGTGTTTAAGGTTGTGTGTCAACTGGGCTGGGCCTGGCTGAGTGGCCGGGCAGCTGGATGTAGTATTCCCCATGATGAGACTGGTCATCAACTCCATGATGGAATCTACTGGGAGCAGCTGAGTAGCTGCCTTAAGGATGTGGTCTGCTTCCTGTATATAAGGAGAAGCCAAGGAGAATGGTCTCTAGCTTATGGCACGCTTGAACCCTGCATGTAGCCGTGTCATTGTTCAGCAGCCCCACCATGCTCTGCTGACCTTGGGACTTTCAATGGACTTGAATTAATGGCCTGCCTTGTGGTTTGGTAACATCGGGACTGTGCCTTTTTACTTGTCAACCTTGGGCTTGTCAGTCTCAGCAGCCAGAAGCTGTCTGAGTGAAGAAACGCCTCTAGCTCTAATGGGCTGGGAGCAGGAGGCAGAGCTGAAGCCCAAGGTTGAGAGGCTTTCACCCAGCCCCTAGAGCCTGGCGTTTTGAACTCAGACTTAAAGCCTCCAAACGTAAGAGAGTAAACTCCTGTTTGTTCAAGCCTCCCATTTGTGGTGTATTCCTGTCAGAGTGGCACTGGGTAACCAGAACATTAACCCTTTGGAGAGTGAAGGTGCTACTAGAAAGTGTGGGTTGCATTCCGTTTCTGTCAGGCCGCCCTGCCCTGGATGGCTCTGAGAGACCCCAGGCTCTGGGGCCTGCACGGTTCCGTCTGTCCCGTGGCTCCCCCACCAGTTCTAGGGTATGAGGTTGCCATTCCAGTTAACCTGGTGACTCATGATTAACTGGGGTCCCGTGACTTGTTTTGTTTTCCCAGTGATGATGGCTAAAGAGAAGCCGCCCATAACCGTGGTTGGAGATGTCGGCGGACGCATCGCAATCATCGTGGTACGATCACGTGTCATCCTTTGTTCACGTGCAGTGATGGTGCTGCTGCCTTGTCCATAGGCTGTCCTCACTGGCTTCCATTTCCAGTGACAATGATAGTCTTAAAGAGCCCGTCGGTGCTTTCTCACCCAAACGCCCTTAGCATGCAGAGCAGGAGTTTGCAGACAGACAAACAGGGCTCAGCGTGTCAGCGACAGATGTACAAGTTGCACAGAAACTCCCGTAGTAGAATCTTCCCCATAACCTTCGTCTCACGGGGTCTAGGTTCCAAGGAAACCCACTGACTAAGCAGCCTCACGCTGCCCTGCGCATGGGTGCACTCCTCCGTTTTTGTAGTGAGTGTGTGTGGCCCAGTGCAGACCCCTTTTGTACTTGACATGGTGGATTTGCACTGGCTCCGAATGGCTTTGCTGGGCCCAAGGGGCCATCCTCTACAGCTGCTCACTTTACTTCCATGTCCTCTCATCTCGTTTAACTTTTCTGGGGCAGAAGTGCCTGTGTCAGGTTGGTAAGAAACGTGCACTGGGGACCTGTGTCCTGACAGTGCTGGCACCAGCTGTCAGTGTCCCCACACCTGCCCAGAGCACTGCTCCTCGCAGCTCTGACGGCCACGTGAGGCACCAGCAGCCGGGCCCTTGGTTCCCATTTCTGGGCGTTCAGTCTTGGGCCAGGCCAGCAGCTCTGATTTGATTGGACACCTGATTTGATTGCACTTGAGCTTAGAAGCAGGCAGAGAAGAGCAGAGGGTGTGTGTCTGGGCAGGGTGGGGGAGACAGTGGTCTCCACGGGCACTCTGCTCCTCAGGATGACATCATTGATGACGTGGAGAGCTTCGTTGCTGCCGCGGAGATCCTGAAAGAGAGAGGTGCTTACAAGATCTACGTCATGGCCACACATGGCATCCTGTCGGCAGACGCCCCCCGCCTGATAGAGGAGTCCTCCATCGACGAGGTCGGTCCACTTCAACATCTGCTGCTGTATTTTCCATGAATAGTGAAATGCTCAGGCAGTATAAATTGCTTAATCTACAAAATACCGAAAACAAAAAACAGAATCCACTGTCACCAAGTTGATTCTGACCCACAGCGCCCCTAGAGGACAGAATGGAACTGCCCCAGAGAGTTTCCAGGGCTGTCAGTCCTTACAAAAGCAAAGCCCAAGCCAAACCCACTGGTATGGAATCGATTTCGACTCACAGCGCCCCTAGAGGACAGAGTGGAACTGCCCACAGGGTTTCTAGGGCTGTCAGTCTTTATGAAAGCAAAGCCCAGACCACATCTACACTCCCTGCCCTGGAGTCCATTCCGACTCACAGCACCCCTAGAGGACAGAGGGGAACTGCCCACAGGGTCTCCAAGGCTGTCAATCTTCACCGAACCGAAGCCCAAACCACACCCACTGCTGTGGAGTCCATTCTGACCCACAGCGCCCCTAGAGGACAGAGTGGAACTGCCCACAGGGTCTCCAAGGCTGTCAGTCTTCCCAGAAGCAAAGCCCAAACCATACCCACTGCTGTGGAGTCCATTCTGATCCACAGCGCCCCTAGAGGACAGAGTGGGACTGCCGACAGGATCTCCAAGGCTGTCAATCTTCCCAGAAGCAAAGCCCAAACCACACCCACTGCCTGGAGTTGATTCCAACTCACAGCACCCCCCCCCCCCCCCCCCCCCCCATTCCTAGGCTGTCATCTTTATGGAAGCCGACTGTCTCATCTTCGTCCCACAGAGCAGCTGGTGGGTTCAAACTGTTGAACCTTTGGTTACCAGCCAAGTGCTTAACTACTATGCCACTAGGACTTCTTAATCCTTGAAATAAAAAACCCTAAACCCATTGCCACTGACTCGATTCTGACGCATAGTGACCACACAGGACAGAGTAGAACAGGCCCATGGAATTCTGACTCCGACCTTATAGGATACAGAAGAATTGCCCCCTAGGGTTTCCCAGGCTGTAATCTTTACAGAAGCAGGTCTTTGTATTTTTCTCCCACAGAGTGGCTGGTGGGTTCAAACCGTTGACCTGTTAGTTAACAGCTGAGCCCTTAATCATTGTGCTGCTAGGGCTCCTTATAATAAAGTCCAAACCTACTAAGTCAATTCCGAAGCAAAGCAACCCTATAGGACAGATAGAACAGCCCCATAGGATTTCCAAGGCTGTAAATCTTGACGGACGCAGACTGCCTTGTCTTCTGTCCTCAGGCTGTGTGGTGGGTTCAAACAGCCAGCCTTTTGCTTAGCTTAGCAGCCGAGTGCTTTAACTGCTGCACCACCACAGCTCCTTTTCATCTGCAGTGGAACTGCTGCTGACTGATCATGAGGCCAGTGGGGACGTCATCAGTGTGCATAGACTGGCTGCGGCCCTCTGCCTGGCCCCTAGAGCATTCCTCTTGAGACTTGACGCACCCTCAGTGACATGGCACTTGGTGTGGGGCTGGGGCTCCCCCATTGTCTGAGCAAACAGACCGTGACTGGAGCACTGGAGTTTCGTGCTCGGAGCTCTGTGACCCTCCCCTGGTGGCCAGTTGGGTGTGTTTAGTCTGTAGACTGTGCTTAGTGCAGTGAGGTTCTGTGGCTGGTGTTTGGGCTACAGCCAGCAGCAGGTGTGCTGAGCGGTTGCTTGTGGCTGAGTGGGGCACCCGTCAGTCACACTGTTTCTTTTGTCTTGCCGTATGCGTAGGTGGTGGTGACCAACACCGTCCCTCACGAGGTGCAAAAGCTGCAGTGCCCCAAGATAAAGACGGTGGACATCAGCTTGATCCTCTCGGAGGCGATTCGCAGAATCCACAACGGGGAGTCCATGGCATACCTTTTCCGAAACATCACTGTGGATGACTAGCTCCCATGGCAGCCCTGCCCCGGAACTCCTTCGGAAAACACATAAAAGCAGAGCCATCAAGGACTGGAACTCGTCCCAAGTCAGATCGTGTCTGTTGCCAAGTTTGATAGCGACGTTAGGATAAAGCCAAGCAGCAGAGCTAACGGATAAGTAACATGGCCTTAAGCGTCTGTCATTGTCATCCCTGTTCCTTACACAGAAGTTACAGACTCCTGGAAAGAATCTGAACCTCTGGTTGCTTTTGACAGGAGTTGAAGACAGACACACTCTTAACTCTGCGTTCAGTCGTGAAATTCCAGGGAGTGAAGGCTGCACCCGAGGGAAGCAGGGTGCTTGGCACTATCTCTGCTCCACTTGTCCTCACCCCACTTAGCGCCACGGAAGGTCTTTGTGGAGACTTGTGTTCTTCCTCCGGAAACGGCTCTGCCCACAGCCAGTGAACAGGAAGCGGAGTTGCCCGTAATGAGCGCCCAATGGAGGATCACCCGGTGTCCGGGTGTCACGTTGCTATCAAGTTGCAAATAAAATAACTTTTTGTCTCGCTAATGTCTTTACTAAGTGGCCGAGCTGCCTGGTCCCCTGGCGGGACGGGAACCAGCTTCCGTCTACATGGTGCAGAAGGCGGTGCTGTAGAGGGAGGT